TCTACTTGTCCTGCTTATTTGGGGAGTCAGACTGTTATAGGAAATAAGTTGGATATAGGTAGCTAATTCTAAACTGGAACAGATGGATAGGAATAAGCCTTACATGCAAACATTTGTTTACAAAAAGAAAAAAAGGGAACTATTTAATAAATATGTGTGAGCATATCACTTAACAAACTGGGATTAGTATTTCCCTGAAATAAACAAGAAGCTTGTTGGAGAAGGGAGGAGGAAAATATTTATTTAATGTACAAAAGTCACTTGAGATGCGCTGCTATCAAAATAAATAAATAAATAAATAAATACTTAGAAGCCAGTTTTTTTTACAGCAAGCCATTCTATACCAGTTTACACTACAAATCAAGGCACATCACCAATAATTGCCACAAATTACAGATTATTGTAAATCATAAAAATAATAAAAATAAACTATTTAACATATGTAACTTTAAACAGAAGACAATCAAATTAAAAGTCATAAAATAGATTTCTAGAGGATAAAGATTTAAACTTTATAACCTTTTCATAAAACAAAGCAGCAAGGTAGCAGTTCATATTTCTAGTTGTTCTTACTCTAGTTGATTTCTAGTCAACTTGTTATCCTAGTGAATTCCAACTGAGTTTCTCTTTAGATTGATAAATATGATAGACCCTTAAGATGATTACAGTATTCATGGGAAGCTTCTTCAGGAAAGAGATCTAAGTAATTTAGGGATTTATATTTAAAGCAAGGGAAGTTTGAATTTAATTGGAAATGTATGGTACCCAGTGTACCAAGATATGACACAACAGAAGTCACATGCTTCTGCCAGGAAACATCTAACAGAAGCCTACTGAAATTTCCAAGTTTCCTTCAGGAGCATCTCCATTTGCAACTTCATTATAAGAAGCTCCTTAGGAAATAGCATAAGTGGCAGTGGTTAAATCAGACTTTCTAGGAACGTATTTGTTAAAATATTTTATATCTGGAAAAAAGACACTCTTTCACTACCACACTGACCTGAGAATTCAATCCAAAGGTTTAGTAGATCACAAACTGAACATAACCAATGGTGTGATGCAGCTAAAAGAAAAGGCAGTCCTGGGCTATATCTACAGATGTAAAGCATCAGGATGAAAATGAGTCTCAATGCTCTATTATGCATTGATCAGATTGCCCATGGAATATTGCATCCAGTTATGGGCACTGAGTAGTAGTACCTAAGCACAGTACAATAATAATACAATGAACCATAATACAGTGAAACAAACAAGTTATACCCAAGTATGTGTATAACAATCGCATATTATAACAGCTTATAACTACAGCACTACCACAGTTTGATCTGAAAGGTGAAAAATGGAGCAGCCTAGTAACAGGTGAAGAAAAGCAGGAGAAAAGAAATTTTCCCCAATGCCCATCTGGATGCTCCTCTGGTCATCCTTTAGGAAGTTATGATTGCATTGTTTTCCAGGCTGGACCATAATACTAAATCCGAGTTCCCCCCACATTGCCTCACAGCAATCCTAGTATGAACATCTTTTGAATACAGCAAAATTTTGCTCTGACCATAAATCCCAAAGTGTTTCTTACATGATTTGCCTGACTCCTGCCTTGTACATTCTCACCCTGGTTTCTGGTCATTATCTTGCAGTGTTTCCATTGGTTTTAGGACAGATATATTGATCATTGAATCCCACGCTCTGCTACTATCCTCAAAGGCATTTTACATTGTCAAGTGCCAAAAGTGTTTAAATTGTTTCCTCTCTTTAAGGCACAGTTACTATAGCAACCTCTTTGTAGAGTGGCAAAGCTTCTGAATTACATAATTGAAGAGGAACTTCAAGAAGGATTTTGATCAGAGAGACAAGGTGGAGATATTTATCCTACCTTAACTGAATTAAAAATTCTCCAAATTGCTCTTTTATCCCAAGCAATTACACTATTTATGCCTAATAAAAGCTTTCTTCAAAAAGTGGTATGCACAACAATAACAACAAATATTACTGAAAATGTGAGGTTAGTAAAAATGAAACATAAAACATTCTTAGTTCATTCTACTATTATCTGAATGGCTCAAAGGAACTCTGTCCTATTTGAAAAACTGAAAAAAATTAAAAGCTGAGTTCCTCTGCAGACTTGGGCATATGTGGCCTTGGTCTGGGGGATAAGGCTTCTCCCATAGATCAGAAGAAATATTTTTTCAGTTTCCAACATAGACCTTTCTGAATGAGATTATTTAAGGCAGGAGTGTCAAATTGGTGGCCTGCGGGCCTGATGCGTCATGCACAGGCCACACCCACCCCCGCTCTGCAAAAGCAAAAAATGTCGCGATGTGTCACAATACGTCACATGACACGGTCGAGTTTGACACCCGTGATTTAAGGGATAGTCGAATAGTGGGGAGATGGGGCAAACCCACTATTAAAGTCTCAATTAATAAAGAGAGATAGTAGCTTGAGTTCCCTCAAGTTTTCACAAAACCAGTGGAAACATACATAAATTTGTCCAGTATGCTTTTTCTATTATTTATAAAACTGAAATACTGCTGGAAATTCTGGCCATGCCACTACAGAAAAGAATATATTTATATTAAAGATGCAGAAAAGAAGTGAGAAAGATATTTTTACAATGCTAGAAGCTGGTCCATTAAATAAAATTACCATTATATTAATTAATGATTTACAGAATGTAATGTATAATATCTTAGCTGTTGGACTTGATAGTTTGATTAGTTGATCCATGTTAGGATAGTTAAATTAATAGTTATTCTGTTAACCCCTATATTTAAATAGAATGAAAGTTGTGATTTTTTCAGAGTCAAATGGTATCTGCCTTTGGGATTAAAGGCTCTTTAATTTATTCCAGTTTCCAAATCTGTGTCTTCCATATTCCTATAAATTAATGCTGATGTGTGTTATTGATTGTGCACATTATATAAAAGTGTTTCAGCTATAATTTAATTAAAGAGCAAGATATATAAAATGACAGAAATAAAAATGACCAGTGGTTATCACATTACTTTATCCATTTTAATTTTTCTACTCTTTAGAATTTTTTTTAAACTTGGCATTTGAAATAACTTTGATTATAGATATGAAAGACAAAAATGCTAATTGTTTAATTTTCTTCTCGTGTTCTATATAATGCTGAACCAGAAATTCAGCTATTCTATGGGATCAATGTTGAGAAAGCCTATCAATGGATGGTGCAAAATTCCTGCTTTAAATCTTAAGGAGGCAGCATCATTATGGAAGTCCTTCCCATTACATTCCGCTTCCCCTTCTCCTCCTCCATCCCTCCCTCCCTTTTTTCAAAAATTGCATTATCATACATTACCTAGTCACATTTAATTCAGTGGCATTTATTTCTAAAAAGAAAAAAAGACATTATACTGTAAAGCAGTTTGCTCATCCAGTGGATTCTGCCCTTGGACCTGGAAGCAAAAGGACACAGTAGCAGTAATATGTTAAAGTTAGAGTGGATCATACATTAAGCTGGGTAATTAATGAGCCCACGGCTGCCCTACATCAACCGAGGAAACAATTATGGTCCAGATTGAAGAGAGGGGAGTCTACAAACAAAGCATTTTCAAGGTATTCCAATGCATCATCATTCGTTCATTCACATTCTTACATATGATATGGCCAACCATAAAATAAAAATCATAATTGTCCCAAAGGCTACTGGACTTTCTTGAGTTTTTTTTTTTCTCTCTCCTTAAAAATGTTTCACTTCTCATCCCAAAAGTGTCTTCAGTTCTTCAGAACTGAAGAAATTTCTTGGATGAGAAACATCACATTTTCAAGGACAAAAATAAACAAGAAATTCCAGTTGCCTTTGGGGAAAGCACCTTTGGGACAACCGTGACCTGGATGATTGAGAATCTCCATAGGCAGAAATCACAGTTGTGTTCTAAACTGGAATCATTGTTTTCTTTTCCAGTCATAAAGATTTAACTATTTAAGAAGTACTTATATTTCATCATGTATTTATAAAACCACCTCTCAATGTTTTCAGTATAACCATACACTGTTTTGCTTAACAGACACACTATATGAATTGTTATCTTCTTTTTCAATTTTCTTGCTTTTACAGTGTCTGGTCAAATATCTAGAATGTTCTATGACTGGAGTCTATGAAAGTCTATGACAATATCTATTGAAACAGAAATTTGCTACATCAACAGCAAATGCAAGCTAAAACACAATAATTTGTTAAAATCCATACTTTCACAATGTTATATTTCAATTTACTATTCATAAAATGTATCGAAGAAATGTACACATAAAATACTCCTATAATAGGACAATAGAGATAAAATGTGAATATATTATGAAAAAGCTAACCCTAGCTGATCTGGAAAATGTTAATCAAGTTCAGACTTTTTTAGTTCTTGACGTCAGATCAGCAGGAAATCCCAGAACTGTAAATTAGACTGGGAAGTTAAAAAATTAAAACGAAAACCCTGGAGGAAGGCATTGGCATATTGTACTGTTGCCAAGAAAATCACATAGATATAGTCACCAGTACTTGAGTTCAATTCAAAAGAGACTGTATCTTTTAGCAAACAAAAATGCATGTATTAGGACAATGTGTTCAACTATCAACCTTAATAGTTGCTCTGTCTATGGAAAAGAATGGAAATGGAAACTAAAGCAGGGAAAGTCTCTGTGACACATTTCCTAGTTTGTAATTTTGGAGCAGAATGACTTTCATCTCCATAATAAAACACTCCTGGCATTAGGAATGCTCATGTTTGTTTTTCTTCATGCCTCTTGAGATATATATGTTTTCTGTTTGTCCAATACGGGGTTATGGATATAGAGATTTGGGGACCACTCAACCCATGGGCTTCCTGCTCCTATTCTTTGTACTAGGATTAGTTTAGCAATTGCATTTCACTTAGATATATTTGAACTTAGTCCATTTTCATAATGATCTTTTGCAATACAAAAGAAAAGCTAATCGTTTTGGGGAGAATGCAACACTGAACACAAGGAAGGAAAGAAAAATTGGATTAAACAATATGTTTGTATGCCAAATTTTTATCCTCCTGACTGCTTATTCCTAGCAAAGTAAGAGCATATCTTCCCTTTCTGAAATAACTCTGGCTCATTGTTTCTGAATCTAGCTCCTTTTTTGAAAAGACAATAAAAAGACATGTGGAATATTAAAAGTCTAATNACTACAGCAATAGTGGAGCCATTTCATTAGATGCTTGAACATGCCCAGAGTGATCTTTTGGATGAGGTATTTCCTTTACACTTAATCCTTCACATAATGATTGACTGGAAAGGATAAAGGAATAGAACTGTAAAGGTTCTTATATTGCCTTCTAATATAATATTGAATGTTGTATATTCAAAAATATCTTTAGATTTAAATAAGATCAAGGCAATGTAGTTCAACTACGAGGGAATTTTGCCTAAGATTTGTGAAAGTATGTAAGTGTACCTGTTATATGTACTATAAGATTATGTTCTAAGTTTTGAGGGGAAACTATTTCTGAATGAAACAGAATGCTCAATATCTTGTACATTAAATAAATGTTCCTTATATCTGTTTCTTATTTATTTCATTGTATTTACACCCAGCGCAATCGTGAGAGTTGAAGATATACAATATTTATGAAAGTATTTGAATAAATCATCTATAATAGGAACTAAAATATATTTTTAAAAATCAATAAACATCCTAAAATCAATGTTTGTCTGACTTTATGTTCACCATAGATTCTCCAACCAGTTTTCAGAAATTTCCACAAGTCCAGGACAATAGGGGCCAACCTAATTTCTATCAGAAAATTATTTAATAAAATAAGTGGTACTACTACAAACGATTCAATCCTGACAAAGATTACCTATAAGAACAAATAATCTCATGCCCTGGCTGAACTCTAACTAAAGGTCCAGATAACTACTTACTCTAGCTTACTCCATAGTTGCCCTGAAACCACAGTCTTATTAATTTTCTCCCCAAAAGAAAGGGTTAGAGAAAATATATATGTAAGACTGTCAGGGTCTAGGGATGGCTCCTTAAGAAGGGGTCATACAATTCCTTTCAAATCTGCAAATCCTAAACTGAGGCATTAAAAATAAATCAGGAGCCAGACTATCATACACCCCAACACCTTGAAGAAGCATAGAGAGCATAGATTCAAGTTATAAGCAGCTGAAGAAATACCAGAGAATCCACAGGCCAAAATAAATTCTAGGTAACATGGTAAAATGTTATCCTAGTTATAACATTGAATACTACTCATGAATCAAGAGTTTGGAAACCAGCTAAGAGTTCTGTTTGATGCCTCCTCCTCCAAAAATAACTGAAACTTCTAAACAAAGCTGACAGCATTGGCAGCTTAGCTACACAATAATACAGAAGTGATTGTGCTTCTTTATACCATGTGCTTCTTTGAGCTTCTTTATACCATGGTGATAATGTGAAATGTGCTTGTACTTGTAGTCTTCATGGCTTTCTAAACATTGTTTCTGCCATTTCATCTCCTGAGATTCCTCAGTAAATCAATCAATAAATCAATAACCATCGAGGATTGGTATACACAGAGAGTCACATAGGGAAATTGACAGTAGCAATCAAAGGAACCATTCCAAAGAACATAAGGAATCCATCTGGAACCATGAGACATCTGGGGCAGATCATTCTAATTGATTTACATGTCCTGTGGCCATCATGGGTCACACTCTCAGGATCAGAAAGTGATCTCAATCATAGCAAAGACTTAGCTGTAATGCTTTCCAGATCACCATGTAATTGCTTCAAAGCAAAGGTAAAATTCATAATACGTCTGCCTACATGTGGCGGGCCCAAAATTAAATGGACAAGTCCACTTGTTTAGGGTACACTAAATAGAGAACATTGTTCTATTAAGTAGTGTCTAGGTTTTGAAGCAAAGTTGCTACCCATATATGTAATTATATCACTCTTAAAAGTTCTGAGTTCAAATATTATTCTAGGCAGATATCCTATACTACTTTGTTAAGTATCTATAAAAGCTACAGTGTATTAGATTTTAACAACAACAAAAAAGCCAATTCACTTATTCTTTATTATGAAATTATGAAGTACTTTTATTGTCAGAATATGTCTTAGCATCAGATAAATAAGACATTAAGTATTACATTATTAGACTGTTGCTATCATCTATGTCTTTTCTTCAACTGTATACTAAAATTTTATTTTAAAGGAGAGAAGCAACCTGGAATTAAGGAGAAACTTCCTAACAGTGAGGACAATTAACCAGTGGAACAGCTTGCCTTCAGACATTGTGGGTGCTTCATCACTCAAGGTTTTTAAGAAGAGAGTGGACAGCCACTTGTCTGAAATGGTATAGGCAGGGGGCTGGACTAGAATATCTCTAAGATCCCTTCCATCTCTATTCTGTTTCTGATATTCCACACCACCCATCTAATATAGTTCTACCCACCCAACCCTAGCATGCACAGAATCCCCAGCTATTGCAAGGTGTGACAGAAGAGTGGTGGTGGGGAGGGCAAGAGTGGATACTCTCTGTAAGGGGTCTCCTATTCCAGAACAGCTTCTTCCTGAGGCACGGGTAGTTCTAGCAAATACCGTAATACTAATTTTAAACAGACATGAGATTGTGTTGCTTAGGTAACAGGAAAACAAATAAGCACAGAATGTATTTCTAGGAAAACAACAGCTGAAATCCATATTTAAAAATAACATAAATATTAAAACTATATTGTTTATCTTGGTATAACATTAGAATGGTCATGTCAATAAATACTGTAACTGGTTTAATACCCCATTGATGAGAACAGTCTGAATAAATCAATGAATAGTGCAGTTCCAGTGACGTCTATTCAGGATTAAGTCTCATATTCAATGGGGTTTCTGGACACAGAATTGTAGCCTTAATAGGCAATCTTATACAGGCTTACTCGGCACTAAATCACATTTAACATAAACCTGATTTACATGTATAAAACTATAATGCACAAAATGTTCTAAATGGAAGTTAATTAATGCCAAAAACCTATATTTACTATGGTCAAGCTGATCATTGTTACTTATATAACTCCTCTTAGGTGTATATAGGTGTGTAAAATTCCTTAAGATTTAATATTACATTTTCTGGTATCTCAAAATAAAGGAATTAACTGTTTATAACTAAAAATGTATAAACAATTTAACCTCAGTTGATAGAAAGTGAAGGCTATTGCTTTATCTTTCAATAAAAATATAAGTGTTAAAATATATATTTAACTTCAGTTTAGTCAGTTGTGATTTTCAATTTATTAATATTATTATTATTATTATTAATATTATTATTAATAATAATCCACCTGTATCTCTTCTAGTAAATTATAAATGTGCTATTCATCATGAACTTGGTTATAATACAAAGGTTTGGAAACAACTTAAGCATATATACATTCTGAGTAACTTTCAATATCTAGTGCTTATTTATAAAATATCTTACATAAATGGGCAATCTCTACAGATACATAACTGAAAGACAAAGACTCTCACCCTGAGCCATTCATGACTTTCTATGGAGTCCAATCAATCATTATTCTAGATTAACATCAATGTTTATATTCTATTATAAACTGTATTTTATGTCTCCTCAAGTACATATTAGTAATTTTACCACATGGATACTTGTCTACTTAAGAACTACATCCCACTGGAACTTTGATTGCTGCACTGTGGTGTTTATTTCCATATATATTAATTGATTTCAATTTTCATGGCTATGGAAGCTTGAATAAAAGGTACAGTGCTCTAGTCCAGGTAGTGCTACCATTAGATTTGAATAGGGTTAATCTATTTTAAATGTTAAGATTTTATACTCAACAAAGCAGAAATAGTAATGTAATAAAAAGCTTCCATTTAACCATTTTTAAAAATATAATATTTTGAAAACTTCTACACATATAACTGCACAATTCAATTTCATATAATACACCTAAGCTTTCTATGTATACAACAATACTGCAAAAAAAATTGGAAGACATTAAAGTCTATTCTGATTCTAAGCAACAGATGTGATACTATTACATCTGTATTGGATTTACACACCAACACACAATAAATTGTAAAACACTATCTTGCAATATTTGTTTAAAAAATTAAGTATTCTTACTTTTACTTATGGTTTTAGGATAATACTTTGAATATTGGATAGCCAATCTTATATTATGCTCATATTTATGCTTATAGAAAGCTCTCATGGGTTTGAAATATATATATTACATGCCAAAGAAACCTGTCATGTTCATTTCTGTTAACTCTTTAACAGTAAATAGTTTTAGGTTAATATTTAAAGAAACAGCCATTTATTTCCAAACACTGGGGAAATTGCTAATTTGAAAGCTCAAAATTCAGCACTTCTTTGTTAGAACATGCAGAATTTAAGTTGGAATTATGAAAAAACATTTAATCTTAATAAATAGCAAACCTTTGATCTGTCTCCTATAGTGATGTTTGTTGCCATCACTGTAAGGATTATTATGTTTATCAACGAATAGTCCAGAAATACTATTGCTTCATTTTCATGTAAAAATGCTTGGAAATTACATATTGTAGGAAGCAAAGAGAATGTCCCTTGCTCATACAGGTAAAAGATAGAATTTTGTAAAATGTATATTTTAAACACTGCACATCATAAAACAGACTCCATTCTGTACAGACTCTTGAGAAGCAAAGATTTACTTACCATCATAAGCTATAAACACAGAAAAGAACACTTACCATAAACTGTACATTATCAAATCCATTGGCCAGCAAGTGGTTTTCATACTGAGGTAGCCCAATATTTTCCAACCATTGTCCCACAGTCTGGACAGGGCATCTGGGTGCTGAAAGAGTTTGAGAAGGGAGGCGTTTAAGCAATGAATATCCATCCACAGGATAATAGCGATGGTCCTGGGCTGAGAGGTGGCATTGCCACATTGTGTTCCGGGCAAAATTGGTATCAAAGGAACCTGCCAGCTTGTCTAATTAATGCTTCCAGTAAATCAAAAGTCAGAAGTAGCACATAGTTTCCAGGGCACACTATAGAGTAAGAACTGCTCCTAACTGAGCATTTCATCTGCATTAATCTATACTACAGACCTGTACGTCATGCAGTGGGGGGGAAACATATCAAGCTATCAGCTAAGCTGTTTTCCGTTATATGTGATTGTTGAAATACTCCACAATGAGCAACGATCTGCTAGCAGCAAGGAATCTTTCATGACGTGCTCCCACACTCATCAGTATGCAGCTCTATGCTCCCCCTTGCTTGCCTGCCTTTATTACCCAGCCTAGGTTCTACCTCACATTTTCAATAATAGCTATCAGAAAAGGCAAGAACGGTTTTTTTTGTCTGCAAGCTCTAAGCTTGCTGCTGCTGCGGTTTCCACCTACACACCCATCCAAGCATCAACCCTGAATGATGGGAGCAGTCAAAACAAACGCAGAAAAAAGCGGGTCATCAGAGGAAAGCTAACATGCTAAAATCTGAATAGAATCTTTGTCTGTTATACATTAGAGAGATTTGCTTATAAATTGTTCATGTTTCAAAGGAGATCAGGCATTGCAAAGCATGAACTGGGGTCTGTGTCACAATTTGCTATTTGCTTTAAAAAAAAAAAGCTGCACTGAGGTTTGCTCTGCTCACAATATACCCTAAACCATTGTTCCTATTATTAGTCTTTTTCATCCAGTTATGAAAAAAACTGATTATATTTTTTTCTTAAAATTGAAAATAATCTAAATTATAGAACATCTTTAACATTTCAAATAATTTTTTCTTCATCTCTCTGATTTTTCAGCTATAGTACACAACCAGAAAATAAAATACCATCTGTTAAAATTCAACCATTCATGTTTTGGAAAAAGAGAGATGTATACACATGCACACACACACATACACATAAACACACACACAAACACACACATTCTTCTTAAAACAGGAATTGAAGCATGACTGAAAGGACGCCATAGGAATATTATAATTTTAAAAAATAGCATTTAACATTTCTAAATTTATCCGACATGTTTGGTAATCTGGAAAGGAAAGTACAGAAGGGTATTTCAAATACTATCCTAAATATACACAAGAAAAATTATTTTTCATTAAAAAGATCCATCCATTAATAGATAAATATGCTTTTCTTTGTTCAGAGTATTTTTAATCAATTCAGCATGTTATATGGCAGACACACACTGCAAACTGGTGCACACATAAACAATCCCTCAACCAAAATTTGCATACTGATTACATATGTAAAAATTAGAAATACAAAAAATACTACTGAGAATAAAAGACTCTTGGCTACTTCTGTATATCATATTCAAATCTTGTAACCTAGCTACTATTGAACCTATTGATGTCTCATCGAAGCATTATTGAATGGGCAAATGCTAATTGAAGACTTCAGATTAATAGAACTGACTAGGGCTGTCTGTCTGTCTTTTTATTATACTTATTAATGTAAATTCACTAAAATGAAAGAAAGAATGACTCTGTGGAAAGATCTTAGGAATACAAGCAAAATGTGACATTCAGCAAAACATGGATATATTTATTCAAACAAGATTAGCAAGTTAAAAAAACTTTACTTTCCAGTAATAATATGGTCCTATGAAAAGCTAGATGCATATAAGGCCACTGATACTGAAGGGCTTAATTCTGCACAAGACTGCAGGCTTTATTAAGGATTGCAGTTTTCATCATCAAAGATAAATTTAATGTACATCATAATAACTAGATTCAATCTGAATTGCCAGCTTGCAATTAACATATTTTAAAAAGGAATTCATAAAGGAAGTTAATATTTTGGTGGTTTTCAGATTACAGTTCATTTTCATTAGTCTCCTATGCTTGGGCATCAACCCACCTATGATTAAAATAAAGAATAGCCTTTTTCTGAAATGATATATAAAGAGAATTACAAGTTGTAAACTGTCTAAATTGGATACAAATTCAAATCCCTTCACTAGCAAAACAAATTAATATTTGTCAGTTTTCAATCAAAAGCAATAAAAATAACAATTCTGATTAATCAATAAATCTGAGGACTCAGGTAACCCAGCTTCACAAGACACAAATTTAAAAACAACTAATTAAGGTATTTAGTGTTCTTCAGGGAGAATACAGAAACCCCTCCCCGTCTGACATTTCATGTAACATACTATCAATGCACACTTGTTGGACTTGTGAATTACAGACACAACCAAAACCACACAAAAAAAGGGTGGATTGTGTTGGTTTGTTGGGAGAATGTGCAATAGAGAAATATATTCTGGCATTTCCAAATTGAAAACAGAGGAGAATAATATAAAATATCTGAAATGAAATGATGATTTGTTAAAGTACATACTATCATTTCATACACTATTTCTATATAGTCTTTGAATGATATTTAAAATGTGATTTATAGAAATAATGAAAACAGTTACATATTGTATTTACCTGAACAGAAAACAATCTTTATTTTAAGACAATCTTCCAAAAAAGAGGAAGCTTGGAATTAAAAAATAAAACAAAGAATTATTCTTTGTAAAGTCCAGCTTCCCAGTAATGTCAAAAGGAAGCTACCAACTTCAAGTAAAACTCTACTCTAGACATTCACTCCCTCAAAAAATAATACACTTGTATTTCTCTGTGTGGTCAACAGCATTCATTGAAATTTATTACTTTTGTCAGAATGATGAAATAAAAATTGCAATGTTACACAGCAAATTCAACCCTGTTTCAGCATTTATGTGATATCATGACACCACAGAAAAGAAGTGGGGTTTACAGCACAGTTCAGTATACTGCTGACATTAGTGTGATGCATCTTGCCCTCTACTCCATGGGCACTCTGTGTGCATACACTAGTCAGATGCCACATTCCAGGCAGGAAAGTCTTGGGACAAAAATTTAATTTAATATTAAATGAACTAATAATGATTAAAATAAAATTTCCTAAAAGAAAGATGTCTCATTTGTAAAATTAATTGCTCCCCAATCTGCCCAATTAATTGCTCCCCAATATACCCCAAAACCATTTTTTCTCACACACAAACATATATATAAGCACACAAATACATATATCCATATTATTACAGCAACAACAGTAAAGAAAAAGAAAAAAATGGATGGAAGGAGTAGCTGGGTTGAGTAGGGAAGAGGAAGGAGTAAAATAAAATGCAACAGAGGTGAGTCTAAATAAGAAAAAACAAAAGAAGAGAAACTGGAATTCAATAGCCTTCACTCCCAGATAAATATGATTAGAATTTATAGGTTCATTCAATATTATGACCATGTGCAACAGTCTATTCCAGTTCAAGGGATACTAACCCCAGAACTTTCCTTTGTCTCCCTACCCACCTCAATGTATAGAGGATGAATGTCCATAATGTGGCAGGAGAGAAAAACCCCGGTAATCGTGAAACCAAGCTTCTGTATGAGCAATGAAAACCCAGTAATTGTGAAAACAGGCTTCTGTATGAGCAGATGCAAGCACCACCACTTCTGACACTGATACAGAAACTACAACCTGAAACTAGATATATGCTACTAAAGTACCTAAGAATGCAGGCAGTATCTGGTGGAGAACCATTAGATATAAGAATAAACAATACAGAAGCTTCACAGAAACAGATTCTAGATTAATATCAGGGCTGTTTAGCTTCAATTGCACCAGAGTGGAGAAAGCAGGCATGTGCTTAAGACTGCCTCAGCTGTCAAATTTCTTACTAGAAAAATTCAGTGACAGCCTTATCTTGAAGCTGTGTACCTTGTGCTAATGTGAATTCCTGAATCCCTGGGCAGGAACTCTTGAACCCTAACACTATATATGGGTTGCTTGTAGGAACCTTGACACTTGAACATTGCTACTGTCTGACTCCTTACAACTCATGATGAAAGGCTAAGAACTGAGTTACTGTTTTACACCAAGAACAATAGTAAGTAGTCTTGATTTACAACTACTCTGTTTATTCACGCTGTTCCAGCCAAAGCAAAAGGCAGGATGGAGAGGATAGCACAAAAAAATCAGTCTACGATCAAACTACATAATTAAGAGCACAATGATACAAACTCAGTAAATCTCTTTATACTCAAATCTTCATCTGCCCCGTTTCACTTTGCTGGAAATGCCAGTTTCTCCATTTTAAAAATATTATGGGAATCCTGAGTCTTTTATATCATCCCAAACATAAAGCATTTTATTTATTTAACTATGTGATTAAGAGTTTCTAGGTGATCATGCACAAATCAGCTGGTTGAATAAATTAATCTTACAATAGCTACACTTCCAAACTCTGCTGGAGTCACAAGAAAAATGTGCTCAGTATTTGAAGACACTCTGAAAGTTGATATTGCCAACAGATGCATGAGACACCTAGGAAAAGGACTAAGGCCTCTGACAAATGTATTCGTGAGTTTAGACTGGTAAATCAAGATCTGACATGAAGTCAGTCCACATTAAGGAACCAATTTTAGGTACGCTTGACTGACAAAATCCTGAATAAGTGAATACAGAAAAGCAACATACACCTCAAGCCTTTATGCAACTTGGTGTTATCACTACATGACTAAAAAGCTGAAGAGATTAGTTGACAACAGTAGTGGTCATAATTTAGTCTTTTGGGAACAAGTTACAGGGCTTACCTGCACTGAAGTCTTCAACAGAAAAGCCTGTGGACATTGGTGGCATTCAGGTTTGGCTGATGCAGCCTCATTGGTAAAAGCTAAAGATCCACCAGATAAGTCATCAGGGTTATTGATGATCCTATCAACTTCCTCTAATCTCTCGAAGATGATATACTCTAACTGTAGTTCAGACAGTCTACTAGTCATAGCATCAACAGATGGTAATTAAAT